CTGCTCCAAGAAGTGTTGCCCGTCCCACTAGCCCGCTTCCGTCTTCCTTCTGCGTATCTGTTTTGCACTTGTTTCCAGCCATCAACCGTAGCTCTGGCTTTAATAATAACCTGCTGCATAGCCGATTTTTTTCCTTCCCAAACCCGCAGGTTTCGTTTGTTCCAGAGAGCCCAGCTGCCCCACATTAAAACCTCCACATCTTCTTGTTTCTTCCTTCTGAATTCAATGATAATCTGTTCTGCAAAAGGGAAATTATCCCCCGCTGACCACTGCCAGCCGACCTGCCTCCATAACTCCTGGGCTACAGCACAACGACGAAACAAATGCTCCAATGACTCTACATCTGCCTCGCATAGTCCACAGTGCCCCGGACAGTCCACTCGCCGAACCTGCAAATTTTGCCTCAATGGAAGGCATCCACTACAAACCTGCCAAAATAACATTTTAATTTTAGGAGGAAGTTTGACCTTCCACATATTAGTCCACTCCATATTCTGCTGCCCACCAAAGTCCGCCACCATATTTCGGTAGCAACTACGCACCGAAAAAAGACCACTATCCTCCCATCTCCAACACACTGAATCCTTAACCGGACTTCTGCTAAGAGGTATTCCACGAATAATGGCCGCATCTCTATCTCCAAAATATCTGCAATCACATCCCAATCCCAATCCTGAAGAGAAGAATCAAATAAATTAGCCACCACGGCCTCATCCACTCTTTCAAGCTTCTCCGTTTCAATCCTCGGATTTTCACTATTCGGTAACCATGGCTCCTCCCAAATGTTTATGGAATGACCATCTCCCACTCTCCATAAATATCCTTCCCGAATAATATTCTGAGTATGCATCAGGCTCCACCAAATAAAAGAAGGATTATTCCCGGGTATAAACACATTTGTATTTATGTATAAGCCACATTTGTGTTAAACCACCTTTGTATTTATGTATATGTCACGCCCCGGACCGCATCCGTGCCACGTAGACAGCCGCCGTACAACCCAATAAGAACAACGTAGTTCATCCTTATCAAATCATACAAGGCGTCCGATAGATTCTATTGCCAAACCGATTAGTAAACTCATACAATCAACACCAATATATTACTCAAACAAATGCAGAAATAAAATATGTTTGATAATTAGCCACACGTGGCAAACATGAGCACGCAGGCCCTTCAATAGTTTAATAGAAAATATTGTTCAAATATCCATGAGCAATTACATAGTTTCAATAAGAATGGAAGCACGAACCAAGTCTTCCTTATTTGGAGTCCATCCTAGGCAAAGGTGCAGGTAGTAGGACTCTAGCCTTAACCTGAAAAATGTGAGGCCCCCGAAGGGGTCAATACTCCATAGAAAGTACTAGTGACAAGCAGGCTATATGAGGAATAACTAATGTCTCAGACACGAGACCCAAAAACAGGGTGATACATATATGTATAGGTGTAACCATCGTTACCCCATCTACAAGATGATACATACCGTATATACTTGTAAAAAATACTTGACCCGTAGGTCATTTTCATTCAAAGAGTCTTTTAGAGATAAGGTACTTACCCGACCTTTCCCATCCATTCCCGAATGCCTAGCTCTCAAGCTACATTCTACATACATAATATCCTACCGAGTTTTAGGATCATTTACTGTCCCGAGGATACTCAACCTCAACCGAGTTTTAAGATCATTTACCGTCCCGAGGATACTCAACCTCAACCGAGTTTTAGGATCATTTACCGTCTTGAGGATACTCAACCTCAACCGAGTTTTAGGATCATTTACCGTCCCGAGGATACTCAACCTTAACCTTATTTCTTACCAAACCCTAACGTGGATATGGCTAACCTTTCATTCCCTTAACTATGGACAATACCTAGTCCTATAGTCATATAATAATCCTTAATAATCAACGTGGGCGGGTCCCACCCGAACGGGCGGAACGGCCCTCGTTATACTCGTTCAAACTGACTATTGGGTGTAAAACCCAATACTCGCTCGAGTACCTTCCTGTACCCGGTCGGGTATAGGAGGCAGTAGCCCCCTGGGGTTATTTTCAGTTAATACCCGGTCAGGTATTTGCCAATACCCGGTCGGGTACAACAGTTGTCTTGGCGGTCAACGCCCGTTTGACCGCCCAAACGAAGTCCGATTACCGTGAAATTTTACATGCACGTACATCTTGACGTCCTTAATCCAAAAATACCTATTTGGGTCCTTGGAACATCATACATATCAATTTATAATAATTTCACTAATCAAACATACATATTATGTCTTTCAACAATGTTATATTCTTTAATATGACATATCACATGTTTTAATACCATTAATCAATTCATAAAACATATTCTAGATTAATTTAGGTAATCTCATGCCTCACGCAAAAGTTATAAAGCATATAGCCGTCTTCTCACCTTAATGAAGCTTATGAAGTTCTAGCCTTCCCGATTTAGCCCCGGCAAAACTCCGGCGAACTCCAACGAACTCCGGCGATAACTCCGGCGACCCTTTCAACTCCGTGAAAGTTCTGGGAATACCTCATACAAGTTAACAATAAGGTTTTATCATCATAAAACTCATATCAACACAAATAACCCCTAAAAGGTTATTTTCCGGCGAAATGATCTCTTTGGCTTCTAAGTTCGTTCTTGAACTTAGAACCACCTTTCAACCACCATTCCACACTTTTAAATGTGTAGAACAATACTAAGGGTATGAAATATGGTTAAAGAGAAGAAATGGGGTTAATGAAGTCATTACCTTATTAACCACAAGTTTTCGCACCTAAACTCCTCTTTTCTCTTCTCTTTTTCCTCCTTTCTTCCTCCCTTGTTCTTGGTGCGTGTATGGATGATAACAATGAATTTTTGCAGAGCTTCTCTCCCCTTGCAAGGTGGTATGGCCGAGCTCTGTGAGTTGGGGTAATTGAGAATGCCTTTTTGGCATTTCTCTCAATAATAACATGGGAAGGGTCCCGTTTATTTTATTGTTTTTGATCCCTATCAACTCATGCCCCTTCTTCCTATCTCTTTGTGCGGCCCTCCTCTTCCTTTGCAAGACTAAAACGTGGGGTGGCCCCCACATATGTGGGAGGTCATCCCTTTGTGTCCCCAAGTGAACACTCGGTCCCGAAAGTTGTATTTTCCGGATTGTTTTAACTATATTTCACTTTATCGGGTCAAATGAAATATCTATCATCCTTCCAATTATTATTGGCTCATAGAATGAATGTATATTACCCAACTTTTAATTTAATGGTCTCCATAATTTATTATGGCTTTAACCTGTTAGTACTTCGGTACCGATAAATGGATCTTATATGCACGACTGGCCAACTCACATGGTTTCTATAGCCCAACGTGGATATCCACCATCATATGAATATTATTTAGACCCAAATGAATATAATATGTGGTCCCGATAATATCGGGCGGCCCCCACTCCCGGTGTGGGCCCCACGTGAATTTTTACTATTCACGTAAAAGAAATGATAAAAATTTACAATCACGTAAAATGCGTCTATTCATTTCTCAGGGTTCAATACATAATTTGATAAAGTACAAATACTTGGGGGCAGTGTTACAATATAAGCTACTATTAACATTTGAAGTCATTTATATAAGCAGTATTTTGTGTGTGGACTACGTAAAAAATAAATTAATCATAAAATAAAGGTTTATTTGTTTTAAGCATTAAATATCCCAATCTGTGGCAACACTTCTTCACTCATGATTAGCAATATGGAAAGAATTCTGAAAATGAAAAGAACCTTCCTTCCAGTTAAATATCTGGGAAGTTACCTTCATAAAAGTATTAATAGGTTTCTTGTAGAGTTCTCCGCTGCTGTGCAGAAATTCAGAGAGGAGGAGAAAGTTTGGTGGTGGAGGCACAGAGGTCGAACAGTCGTGGTGCGATGCCATGATGGAGGCACGACTGTGGCTTGCGGTGATGGAGGTGCGGATGACTTGCGGAGATGGAAATGCAACTGTGGCATTGTTTGATGTGGCTCTGTTCGATGTGGCTCTGTTCGATGGAGGTGCGCTGGTGGAACCCAAATTTGGAAATGATAGAGGGATATGTTAATCAAGGGCATTTGAGTCCATTTGTTAATTTAATTCAATTTTTTTCCCTAATTTCAAAACATGTCTTATTTTTGTCCACAATAAAGCCCATGGTAGCATTTCCATCATTATTCCAAAAAAAAAATCCTACGGAGTATATTTTTTTTTGAAAGAGAAGAACCCAATAATGAGAAATAGGATTGTAATATTTTTATTTTATAAAAATATTAATTACTACTCAATTTAAAAAGTATTATCATTTTTTAAAATCTCATAATATTGAAAATGACAATAATTACTTTATATAGTTAATAAAAACATAGCGATAGTTTGAAATTCATAAACATTTTTACATACACTTAAGACAATTTCGTATAATAAAATTGAATAAATTCCACTTTTGGTCCTACGAGTTTTAGTTCAATTCCACATTTGGTCCACATCTTTCACTTTGTCCACTTTTAATACATGGCTATCGTGTTTTCGCCATATATGATCCTTTCATCATTGTTTATGATTATTAAAATCGTTGGAAAAGGACTACAAACGATTAAAAAACATTAGTCAAGTAAAAAAATGGACAAAGTAAAAGATGTGAACTAAAATTGACACAAAACTCGTAGAAACAAAAGTAAAATTAGTTCTAATAAAATTGGTTCAATGAAGCAATAATCCTAGTCAAAACATCCGTAAGATAAAATAAAATTCATCTAATGAATGGGGGCCCAGTTGAAAATGGGCCAGTTCATTGAGTGCATCCTCAATGCATATCCCACGCGATCCGTCTTCAATATCGCAGATCTAACCGCGGTCAAGCCTCACTAACCGACTATCCTCAGATCTAACCACACAAGGCATCTATCAACCTCCTTGCTTTTGCCACGTGCCGTGATTAACGGCCAAGATTGATTCCCTGCACGTGACGCCCCGTCGAAGTTCGCTATATAGCCGCACAACCCCTTCCTCACTGTAAACCCTAGATCCCGAGCATTAGCAGACGCTGAAAGGTTTAGAGAAAGTAATGGCGAATCCCAAAGTGTTCTTCGACATCACCATCGGTGGCAAACCGGTCGAAATCAATGGCCAAAAGGCCAACCGTGTCGTGATGGAGCTCTTCAAGGATGTCACTCCAAAGACGGCCGAGAATTTCCGCGCTCTCTGCACCGGAGAGAAAGGAGTCGGGAAATCCGGCGTGCCGCTGCACTTCAAGGGCTCAAAATTCCACCGCGTGATCCCCGATTTCATGTGTCAGGGCGGTGACTTCACAAGGGGAAACGGAACCGGAGGTGAGTCCATCTACGGGGAGAAGTTTGCAGACGAGAACTTCATTAAGAAGCACACCGGACCCGGCATCCTCTCTATGGCGAATTCGGGGCCAGGCACCAACGGATCTCAGTTTTTCATCTGCACCGCGAAGACCGAGTGGCTCGATGGTAAGCATGTGGTGTTTGGACAGGTCGTGGAAGGCTATGATGTGATCAAGGCGGTGGAGAAAGTTGGATCCTCAGGCGGAAAAACGTCTAAGGATGTGGTGATTGATGAATGCGGTCAACTTTCTTAGATCTCTCTGGTCTAGTGCTCTTATGTCCGACTATCCTTTTTCTCGTCGTCTTCGTCCGTCGTTTTACCTTTTGTGTTTGTTTGAATCACCTTCCATCTAATTGTTCTGCTTTCGTTTGAGCACTTTGGTATACCCACCTATGTGTTAAATAAGTTTTAAGATTGTTAGTTGGTTACATTGCTTTGATGTGGTGTTCTTATTACATTTCACCTAATTAATTGGAATCCAAGAATAATTAGCTAATTCAAGTACATCGTGGCTTATTATTCGCTATGGTTTTCAATCATTTGATACCCCTCCAATTGAATTGTCTTGGGATTGCTCTAGTGCTGTAGTCGACAATCTGCTTGATCCCATTAACAAGGTTTAGATTTACAAAATCGTATTTCCCTTGTGCTTATTTGGTTATGGATTTTGACATTAACCATGGTTTTGTTTTGGCTTTTTTATGCTCCGTGTTCATATGGCTATATTTCGTTGCATCTCAAGGAAATATTTCATAAAAGGTTGCTATAAGTAACAGACCTAATGAAAAACGATATATACTCTGTTGCATGTGAAGTTAAATTCTTTCTGTAGCTAAGGAGTGTGATAGAACTCATTGAATGAAATTCCCAGTCTCTGAAATCCTCTCATTTTCAATGTGGTTCAATTTTTCCGGTCAAACGGAGTATTTGTAATGCCTATGTGGTTCAATTTTTTTCACTTGCGGAGTATATTCTAGTTCTGACTATCTCTTATTTTCATTCACATGAACGTATTTTTTAATAACATAAAAAGTTGAAAACTAACTTGAAATCCTCATAAATCAAGCTTGCGGAGATAGTGTGACATAAAATCTATCCAGTGCCACAACTCACAAGAACTGAAATACTGAGTAATGGCTGAAGAAACGGCACACATGAGGACACTGTTGAATTTAGAAATAGAAAAGGTTAGAGAGAAAAGAGAACAAATTCAGCACCATGTTCAACTGCAGCTGTTCGATTGTTTCGAAAGAACTCTTAAACGTAATTGCCTCCACAATTTTTATTTCTTTAAGATTAAGATTTTTTTTCAACTAATAGTAATACGGAGTATAACAACATCTTAGTCTTGAGATGTGTTTAGATTTGATATGATCTTTTTAAATTTGGTTTGGTGTGATAAGTCTTTGGTCAAGTCTTTTTAATTGTGGGAATTTGGTCTGAGTATGGTTTGGCAAGCATATTTCTTAAATTCAGCCCTTAATAATAGAAGTAGCCATGTTTGGAGAAAAGGCTGAACCAAGTTGAATCGGGAAAAATGAATTGAATAGAAACATTATTCACTTACTTAACTGTCTCTATTCGCTTGATCGCTCAATAAATCAATATCCCTAGATCAGTAGATCCCCTCCACCATCGTTTCTGCAAATTAGCTTTTCACCCTTGCGATGCATAAATAGTAATTTCACGCGCAGAGGCCGACGAAGATCTTGATGAACGACAAATTAGCTTTTCACCCTTGCGATGCATGAATAGTAATTTCATGTGTAGAGGCTGACGAAGATCTTGATGAACAACAAATTAGCTTTTCACCCTTGCGATTCATGAATAGTAATTTCACGCGCAGAGACTGACGAAGATCTTGATGAACGACAACGATGGACATATATTGCTTCAACGGTGCGATCAAGATTACAACGTGATAGCGTTGGGTGCCGAAATCATCTTGTCTTCTAGCAATTGAGGAAGGCTAGCCACGACCTAGGGTTGTAAACGAATCAAATAATTTATGCTCGATTCGCGATTCGAATTCGTATAAGACGATTCAAGTCCGGAAAATACAAATACAAATAAGAATAATAAATTTGATTCGAGTTGTTATCAAATACAAATAAGAATATCAGTGTATTCGATTAATAATAATGGTAATATTAATATCAATATTAATAATAATAGACTAATAGTAATAACCAGGGGCGTATCTACTATGGGGGCAGGGTGGCAGCTGCCCCCACTCAACGTTTTTAAAAAAACTGATTACTTACCGACCAAAAGGGCTTAATTGAACGTTTTTTAATAGTTCGAGGACTTAATTGAGTGTTTGTAAAGTACGAGGGTCTGATCGACTTTTTCGGTATAGTTCGGGGGCTTATTTGATAGTTTTCCCTATATAATTTTATGAGATATTACCCGAAATAGGACTAAAAAGTATGAAAATTCCAAAATAGGACTTCCATGTTTTTATTTCCAAAATAGGACTAATTATTGTCATGTTTTGGCAGTACCAGACTTCAAACATGGCAGTATTTTCCAAACTTGGCAGTAATTAGTCCTATTTTGGGAATAAAAACATGACAGTCTATTTTGGAATTTTCAAACTTTTTTAGTCCTATTTCGGGAACTTTGCCTAATTTTATTTGTGTACACACATCATTGTCATATTTATAGTATAATAACGTTAAAAATCACAAATTTAGTGGCAAAGTGCCGTAGCCCAGCGGTAGCAGCACACGCGTGTGGAGTTTGGCCACGTTCGAATCCTATAGGCCACTTCAATTAATATTTTTTTCATTCCTTTAAACTGTTTAAAATTTGTTCAAATGTAAGACTTAAATTAATATATATATATTTTTTTTAATGAAGCTAATAAGTGATAAGTAGTTTCATTAACATCTTTTGATAGTTAATATTGAAATTTATTTATTTGTAACTCAAATCACTTATAAATTACATATTTCATCCATTTCTTGTATATTTTTTTATTTTGTATTTAATAAAGTATAGAATGTCTAAATCTAAGATACAATATAGTTTAAAATAATTTATTTTAATGTAACTAATAAATGGTATGTAATTTCAATCACATCTCGCTTAATATTAAAACACTCTTGTTTATTTGTAACTTAAATTAGTCATAAACTTATAATTACATATTTTATCTCTTTCTTATAAAATAGTCTTTATTTTTTATAAATTGTCAATTTTTTAACTAATATTTATTTTCTAAAAAATTTGTGATAATGTTAGTGTAAACTTTTAAAAGATAGCAATACCCTCAAAGTGTAGTCCACATATACATTTTTGCATACAGATCCCAAATCCATTTGTAATAAACTAGAATATATCTACGAATACGGATCAATTTTTTGGTTCAAATGTCTTACAAATACAATACAAATAATTATGTATTCGATTTGAAAAATAAAGTTGGAGTTGTTTGACTTTGATATATACAATTATCAACTTATTTCACACATTATAAGTATAATTTCTAATATGTGTGTGTTAGTGTTTATTTCAAAAAGTTTAAAAAAGATTTATATTTATTAATCATAAAATTAATTCAGTTTAGTATATTGTGCACCATCTAAAAATGCATTGATCCATTAAATTTAAATTTTAAGAACACATATTAAGCCATAGCATGCATTTACAACATAAACAATACGCAGTATAAGAAAAATTGTTTTAAAGTGATAGATAGTATTTGCCTAATATTTAACCTATGTTGAAATCGATTCAATATTCGTATATGATTTGTTAACTATTCATATTGTTAAACAAATACAAATCTAAATTAATATTCGTTTCATATTTGAATTCGAATTCGAAAAAATTAAACAAATACATATACAAAATCTCATTATTCGACTCGATTCGGTTCATTTACAACCCTATAAAGTGTGATCAAAGCTTTGGTGCTGATAACGTGTAATGAACCAGTGAACCTGATAAAGAAAAAAAATGAGATCAAAGCTTTCGTGCTGAAAACGTGTAATGAACCAGATCAAAAACATACTTTCATTCATATATGAGGATGTATATATATGAAGGGAGCTAGTATTACAATAATCAGATGTGTCTGTACGTATGGGCCCGGACTATGAACTAATGGACATCCATAATTACATATAACACATCTCGGAGGCCGTTTGGCAGCACTATTTTTTGGCTTATCAGACTTGTCAATCAACTTTTTCACCAAACACGTAACTTTTGCTTTCGTGCGCTGAATTGTGTATTAACTAATAAATAGAAAAACTAAATTGGAGTTACTTTTTGGGTTGTATTGGCTGAAGTTACTGTAGACGATCATTTTAGCTATTTCTACATATAATTTTTTCTTTATTTTATTAATAAAATAAATTTTAAAATATTTTTTTTTTAAATCAACAGAATCAGCCAATGCAACCACTTTAGTCAGAACTTCATAAATTTCAGAAGAATCAGCCAAATCAGCCGATTCTCGTGCTACCAAATGAGCTCTCACAATTACTTTAATAATTAAAATGGGGTTTATGGACCGTCTATAGATTGTTTAAGGCATTAAAAAATTAAACAGGAGCTTAAAAAGTTCAACAAAATTGATATAATGGATAAATTAAAATCATGACATAACAGTGCTAACTTATTATTTATTAATGTAATCATGTACTACCCCATAATGATATAAATAAATACACACAAATTTTAACATAACCACTAAAATAGATATGTATGTATACTCAAGCTTGTGTACACGCATGCACACGTGCACACATATGGACCATATATCATTAGTTACATTACCCAATAACAGTGCCAAATAAAAGTTTATTTTATTAAAAACAATGTTCTAAAAGACACTAGGCGCTAGTCGGCGTCAGCCCAGCGCCTAGCGCCTAGGAGGCTAGGTGGGGACTAGTCGGAGACAAAGAAATTGCATTTTTAAAGGAATTGCAAACACTACACGAACAAAAAGGAAATTACCAAAAAGTATTGGATAAATTCAAATTACCAACAAACTCTTAAGCCGTTTGAAGTGATATGACATATTCAAGAATAGGCCCCAAGTCCCTAACAAAACCAATCGTATTATCTGCATATGGCTTCTGAATTCGAGGGGAAGTTCGAAGTTGCAAAAATTAGAGAAGAAATTTTCAGCCATAAGGGAATAATCCGTTAAAAATGTAGTTTTTTTAAATAAAACTTCTTCATGTAAGCATGTGAAGACACATCACATAGATGTAGAGAGTCCAATAGATTTGGACTTTTCGAAGCATGTGCAATGGTGTCGCCTTGTATCAATAACCATTGTTGGATCAAGATTAAATAATTTGATATATGTATTGTTGAGTTTAATTCCGGTAGATCCAAAGGTTCAACACAAACCTTTGAATATCAGACGTGTTTATCAATTAGGTGAGAGATCAGTAAATCAAATCACTCAACAGCTCCAATTGCATTATCGTAATTATAACGATTACAGAGAAAGGGCCGAACGGCAGTTACGACCTAGTGGGTTATACAAGAGCTAGAGTGAAGTATATATGTGTGAGTATCAAAATGCTAACCCCTTATTATGGAATAAATGCTACTACCTTTGTCCCATTTTATATGTCTCCTTCGGTTTTGGCACGATTTTTAATAAAGTGGTTGAAAAGGTAAACGTTGTGGTTGAGATTTGAGTATAGTAAAGTGAAATGTTGTGAACCACATATTTCTTTATAGAAAGGAAAAAGTGACACTTATTTTGGGACAACCCAAAAAGGAAAGTAAGACATGTAGAATGGGACGAAGGGAGTACTATTTATACTAATAGTGAGTAGGTGAGATGGATGACGTATTGACCTGGCAAGCTCTCAATGGCTGACTCCCTTGCCACTTGCAAACTCATGCCTCCACTTGAGTGCCCATACTCCTGCATTAAATGCGTCCCTGCCACTTGCAAGGCTTCCTCGATCAGTACTTTAGGCTGATGCGATTAGTAGCTAAGAAGGATGCTTGTTACCCTTCAAGTATGTAACTTGGCCCATTCGGGAACGACCGAACGGTTCATGCTCAGTGGGTTGAGACCCCGCTCGGGATCCCCATATCCGCTTGATATTCATTGTGCTTTGCTGCTGTTTTTCGGGCCTTAAGGATATTTTGGCCCGGGTTACTGAGCCGGAGCCTAATATCCCAACATGTGTCAATACGAAACTTAATATTAGAAAGTTTATTAAATAAATAACTTTAAATATAAATTAATATGAAAGTTAAAATTAAAATGGAACTTCTAAAAAGGTCTA